AAAAAAAAAAAAAAAAATTCCCAACCTTCCTAAGGACCTGGACCTGCCTCTAGACCTGCCAAAGAAGAAACAAATAGGTCTTGCATACTCCCTAAACTTTCATTAATTAAACTCACATTGAATAAAGAAAGGCAGAAGTCTGTCATCAGAAGAAGACCTGATAGACTTGTCCATTGTCATTGTCCTCTATTTCAGGCCCCAGAGAACCTTTTATAATCTATTGTTTGTTCTACAGTGTGTAGGACAGAGTTTGTCCCTGATCATAGGTGCTCTAAGCCCATTGAGCTTCCTAAAGATCATTTAGCCCCTCCCTACAAGAAAATAATATATGTTTCTGAATTCATGTTGGCCTAGTGGGTAGTCTTATACCTCTGATTTGATTCCTATATTGCGATTTTTCCCCTTTTGTGCATAAATTTGTATGCCTTTTTCCTTTTTAACTTATATTTTCCCATTCCAATAAAGCAAATCTTCAGAGAATAGAGAAGAAATTTCCCTTCCCTTACACTAACATCACTTTTCACAAATAATATTAGTTGGGGATGGATATAATACATGTGGTCACAATTATCCTGACTTGTATTTTTGAATGTAAGTTGTAGGTAATCCCACATAACACACATCTTTTCACCTTTATTCATATTTGAGCTTGTGTATTTCTACTACGTAATGACTTGAATTCAGAAAGTATCATAAAAAGAAAATGAAGAGATTATATAAATGTCACCACTTTGCTGTGGACTTAACATGTTCTTGCTGAACTTAGCTCTGTGAACATCTAGATTAGATTTTTACTCCAAAAGAAAAACACCTATTTGTGAAGCAGTTTTCCTGGCATTAGGTTTGTGTCATAGAATAGGTTTGAAAATATGTGAAAAGTCCTTCTGATCACACATTTATGCATACAACGCCTTCATTTTTTTCCTCCCTGGGTGAATTTTAGATCTTAATATAAAAGTTCACACTGTTCTTTCTTTTCTTCATACTTGTCTCTAAAAGAATTTAATTGCCTTACACACATAGTCAAAAATCAGAGCATGTCCATTTTAATCCAAACTGGCTGTTCTGATCTACATGATAGATTATGTTATAGAAAAAAGAAAAGAAATGTATTAAAACTGTAAAAACTGGGATAATTGAAACTATTTTGTTAATAGAGTTGTATTTCTGTTAGTTTATGCTTTGTCTTCTTGATTATCCTTTGAATTCACAACACAAATTTTGTCTTTCTTTACTGTTTTTTTTTTAATGCCTCAGTTTTCTTTCTTTTTTTTTAGGAATAAATTAACATGGCTTTACAGTAAAACCTAGAAAGTTATAAAGAAATAAATGCAACTGCTCAGTAAGGGGATTTCTCAAAATGATATTTTTTTTCTTTTTTACTGATAGAATTTTTTAAATTTTGGGTAAATTTAAAATATATAGAAAAGTATAAAGAAAAGAATAAAATTACTCAAAATTCCATCACTCAATGATAACCGCTTTTACTTTTATTTCTGTACATATACTTCTGTATAACTAAAATAGGATAATACATTATCATTCCATATTAATCTTTTTACTTAAATGTATTGATAATTTACTATGTCAGTTCTTTATCAAAACATGAATTTCAATATCTGTATACTTTTCCATCTGTTTCTGAAGTGACTTAAGCTCTCTTTAGTCAGATATTTAAGAAAACAAGCTGGTGCAAAACATTCCTATTTAAACACATACAGAATTTATTGACTAAGTGAGTGCTAATTACATTTGGATATCTCAGTGTACTGCTTACTACATTTTTGTTCAGAAAAAAATAGACAGATTGAGAGACAGAGAAAGAGAGAGGAATATTTAAGCTCTTGGAATAGTCTCATTTAGATCAAAATTGACAGTGTAGTACATCTTATATGTAATTTTTTGGCACTATTATGGTGATAAACAGCATTTTATTAAATCTAATAGACTAATATCAATAATAAAAAGTTTTAAATATTTTTAAATGTTTAAAGTTTTATTTTTCATTGTAAGGGAATAAAAGTGCCAGAATTTGAATGCTGGAATTACATACCTGGGGAGATGATATAGAAGAAGTCTTTAAATTCATCCATCCAAACTTCTGCCAGTCTGCGGTTGTTCTTGTTGATTACGTGACCAGTGCCACCAGGGAATGTGTATGGTGTTGCCTTCCGAAAAACATGACCAACATGGGAGCAAGTCACGATCTCCAAAGAGCCTCCACACTGCCAAATCTAGGGAAAAGAACAATTGTTTTGTAACAACTCTTAAAATAACACAATAATAATACATGAGGACAACTGAAGCTTAGGTAAATGCTTCAGATCTCATGTTTCAAAGAAATATTGGACCGACACAAAATGCTAATATGTATGTAATAATTTCTCATACATTTAAACACATGTGGCATTGGATCATGATAATAAGATATAACTGTATCCATGCGAATTTATTAGACAATTGAATTCTCAGTTTCTAGTAATCAACCCAATTGCTATTTAACAGATATTTGGTATCCAAAATGTGCTATAGTTATGAACGTATTTGTATTAAGATATAATATTAAGTATTAAGATATAATATCAAACACAATTTAATTTGAAGAAAAATCATTCCAATTTACTCCACTCATCTGGAATTTTTAAATTATTTATTTAGTTATATTTTCGGTACCAGGGATCAATCTCAGGACCTTGCACTTGCTAGACAGGCAGTAACACTACTGAGCTAAATCCCCAGTCCTCCTCATCTGGAATTTTAAGTGACTTTCCCCCACTATCTTAGATTTTGGATATGTTGTTTTCACTGGAATATGCTGAGATGCCTTTATATCAGTAAAATATCTGTATGTTCTCTCTCTCTCTTTTTTTTTTTGGTACCAGGGATCAAACTCTGGTCCTTGTGCTTGTGAGGCAGGCAGCAGAACCACTGAGCTAAATCCACGGCCCAAAGTCTGTATGTGCTTCAAAATCCATCTTCAAGATCATTTAAAGTTGGTAGCACAAGCTGATAATCCCAGCATTTGGGAGGCTGAGGCAGGAGGACTACCACAAGCTGAAAGTCAGTCTGAGATATGTAGTAAGTTGATGGCCAGTCCCAACCACCCTGTCTCAAAAACAAACAAAGCAGATGCTCTAAAGGTAGATTTAGTAGACTTAGAATTTTGTACTTTAAACATGGTTTTACTGAAGAACTAATACTGTCTTATAGCAAGCACTTATTTGCTTAATTATCTCTTCTGCAAAGCCATGAGCTCTTGGAAGATATATCCTATATTACATGATAGTCTATGATTTACTGAGCAGTTGAGGCCAAGCACTATCTAAATTATCCACAAAATATTGATAAAATTACACTTTATAGGCTATACCAATAATATGCTTTCTTATATGGGTATGTGCATACATGTGCACAGAGTTGGCCTTTCACATGAGTAAACTATGCATTTGTGGATTCAACCATGAATCAAAAGTATTGGAAAAAATTCCACCTGTACTGAACATATATAGATTGTTCTTATCCTTATTCCCTAAAATTACAGTATAACAACTATTACACAGATTTTATATTATTTAGCTATGATAAATAATGTAAATGATTTAAAGTATATAGGACATGAAAAGGTTATATAAAATGATGTCAATTTATACAAATGATTTGAGCAGCCAAAAATTTTGGTACACATGTATGAGAGATCCTGAAATTAATCTCCTGGCAAAGGGAAGGGGGAAATGGGCAGGGAGGGTATGGTAAAGGAAAGAAGGGAATGGAATTAATATAAGAAAATGAAAAAATAAAAACTAAGTCTTTGTAAATAGGGAGGGAG